AACGTAGAGGATCCACTTTTCATCCCACGTAACAATACTGTGCTAAAGTCTATTACCTTAGCGTCTGTTAATCCTTGTAGTTTATCTTTAGATCGAAATTTCAACTGCGAACGCGATCAAACCAAAAACCCACAGTTCTTTTTATTTCTGTCCAAATGCAGCATTGATATTGCGAGCTATCTCAATTGCGTTAGAACTACGTCAGAACTCGTGTCCAAAAACTACTATTATTTTTGAAGTGTCTAATATGACTCAAGCACTGAATGTAAAAACAAACAATATAATGTAATTTTTTTTGAATTAAGAATGTTGTAGTTTTTGCATTGAGTTATAATAAATCAATGAGTTTTTGCGTCAAAAAAGGTAGGAAAGAAAAAGGTTTCATTATTCACACTTTAACAGGACTATATCTTCTACATATTACGAAAATACTTATTTAGCTTAAAATGGAAAAGCTTTGACGCTAATTCAAATTATAATGATACAGTTATTTATTTATGGATGGTCAATCTTCGATGAGGTCTTGTTTTTGGGAACCGGAATAGATTTTGACGTAATCGTTGAACGCTCTCTGCGTTATAAGGCGAAGAGAGCACATTTTTAAGTCTTATTCTGATCATAACTTTACTTCCACGCGGTGTCAGCAGTGACCGTCAGTCGAGGCTCTGCAATTGTTGGTGGGAAGATCAACAACACCAAGAACAAATGCCAAATTTAATTTCATTTATAAGGAACGTATAATTTAACAATTATTATCAAAACGTTAAGCATAAACGATGATGTAGACTGATATCTGGGATTTTCCACTGCAAAGTCCAATTTGTCCTTCAATCTGACACCTTGTCATTAGTACAATGCACCTACATTACATTTACCTATAATTAAGTTTTTTTTATGATTTAGTTTATTTGGTACGTGGTAAAACCAAGTTGGAGTTACATTATGGTTGCATGTTTACGAATGGTTCAGCTCGATCATGGAAGGACCACGCTCAGATAAAATATTACGGAACCGCTACGTACGGTCTGATGCGTTGGCTTAGCGATGTATTGCGGTGCTGAAGGCCACGGGTTCAATTCCTGCACTAAATAAGTATTTGAATTGTCCCGAGTCCGAATCTTTGTCCTTGTGAAATTTATGTATGTAAACTTCCACCATAATATAGGAGAAAATTCTAATGTAGGGTGTAACGTTTTAAAAAAAAACAAGCAAATTAATGCTACTGTTTCATACGGTGAATGTTGACAACAGGAGACCCTTTTTATTGGTAAAAAGGCAATCTACCTAAGTCCTCAGGAGTGACAGTTTAATGTAACTATTTAGACGACTTTGACATTGTTTTGTTCTGAGTCCACTCAAAAGGGTAAAAAATTACTTCTAACAAAAAGTAAGAGCCGTCTTCAAAGAACTAAAAAGCATTTAAAAACAATTTCACATTCTGAAGACAGGGCTATATATATTGTATATATAAACTTTCAATACCGTACCATTTTTGATACCGAATTCAGAACGTGAAATTATTTTTTTTCCTTTCAAAGGCTTTACAATTTCGTATTTCTTATTACTCTTTCAATTTCGTATTACTTAATACTCGGTTCTTTCAATATTTTTGTATAACAAAACACGCTTTAGTATTTATTACACATTAAACATAGTATGTTCTATTTGATGAAAAATGTAAAAATTAATTTTAACTACGCAGCGAAGAATTTTATCTTTCTCACCACCTATAATTAATTTCAAAATTAAGTCATTCAAAAAATACGCCACCCGAAATTTCGGCATTTTGGACCCCTCTTCGTCACGTCGCGTCGCTATTGTCTGCAGTTATAGCCCCTCGAGTCGAGTCTCGAATAATAAGCAATAAAAGTAATAATAATAATAATAATACCATACCCTTACCCTTAGCTGTTTCGTCCCCAATGTCAGCGGCTTGGGCATCGTTTGGATTTACATTTATTTATTTACTTATTTATTTTTCTGTATTTTTATACATGGACTTATACTCAACGTTCTTAAAATATGTGTAAAAACTTTTTTATTACACCGCCTCAGTGACTGAGCATATTATGCCCGGTCACATCGTTCGGCGGACATGTTCTGAATAATAGAATAGAATAATAGCATATTAATATTTATGACTAAAAATTTTTGCTACTTTAAAGTAAACAGTTTGTAAACAACACTACTCTCATCAGATCATATCTTGGAACAATAATTAATAATAATAATCTCTCTCTCTCTCCCTCTCTCGTCTGGTTTGCTGATCCAGCACGTGTAGTGGACTTCTTCTTTCTTCGAAATATTTAATTTTTCAGACATAACCTGTATGTGGCGATGTTTGTCTTTACCGCGGAACTCCTAAACGTCCGGTTAAAACAGTATCCCACCTGGTGGTAAGCGGTGATGGAGCCCTTCGTGGTAAACCGCACTGGTATCTACAGCAACGCTAGAAGACGGAGTCGGCGTGTTACAGCTAAATCTATCTATATATCATTAATTTATTTCAGACTTTGTCATTGTACACATTATATTTTTACCAACTTCAAAAAGGAAGGCGTATTCAATTCGACTGTTTGGTTTTTTTATGTGTGTTGTTACCTCATACTCATAAGCCATAACTTTTCTCTGGGTGAACCGATTTTGATGATACTTTTTTTATCTGAGAGTTACTACTCTGAAACACAAAATCGTGTACTAAGTGTCTGTGTATGTGAACTAATAGAGAAAACGACGAAACATGTGCTTCGATGTTAATATAAACCTCAAGTTATTTTGATCGCTTAGGCATCTTATGAACTTGAGTTACTGTCGTCATCGACTGCCTGCTGGGTAGACAGCTTACTCCCGTTCTATCAGAAACAGCTGTTAAACATTTGATTTCTTCAGCCACATCTGTAGCATCTGTGCTCCTTAACATATAAAACAGCTGAGCATATAAAACAGAGTATTTTTGAAAACTCTTACTGAAAAATATTTTTTTATCAAGATCTGACCAGTAGTGAGTTATTTTTAATAATGCGTATTTGATTGACTAATACATTGATTCGGTCCTTTGAGTATTCAATTCGGTCGTATTGATGGCGTCGTTATACAATTTTTTTATTTATTAATTTTTTCACTTGTATTGCGGAATAGGTTACATGGTAAGACCCCGATTACGTGTGGCCCAATATTTCTCCTGAATGCAGCTCTGAGCTAGTGTGTATAAAAATGTCACTGGCTGCTGGAAAATACATAATATAAGAAATCCTTCTACTTGAGCATATCGATTCATTTATATTGCGTCCTCATACCGCTGGGATAGTGCACTGTGACTTCAATGGAGGGCGAGTAGGCAGCCTAAGCCTTTGTGTGAGCGAAGAAATAAATCGCTGGTTAACACACTTTTTCATCGAAATAGCTCCTAAAGCAAACTATTCAGTTTTGTAAACTGTAAATAGAAATAATTTATGTTTAAAGTGCGACTACTGAGCTCTTGGAGCCGTGGTAGCTCGCTAGATGGTTAGCGTTTTTCTTTCTCGATCTGTAAATCACAGTACGCGAACAAACCGAGTTCGATCCCCCCCGGCACCAATGAAATCGTTAATTGCAATTTTAAGTGCTGATTTACCACGTGCTCGGCGGTGAAGGAAAATATCGTGAGGAAACCTGCATGTCTGAGGAATAAGAAAAAAAAAAGATATTTCGAAGACATGTGAAGTTCGCCAGTACGCATTGGGGCAGCGCGGCGGCCAATTCCTTGCCCTAAAACCCACTCAGAAATGAGCGGAGGCCTGTGCCCAGCAGTGGGACGTATATAGGCTATAACTTTACTTTTACCTTACTGAGCTCTTATTTAGTTTTCAGTAATATAATAGTGCAGCGCAGATCAAAGTAGGCGAAGTAATAGCAAAAATTCATTTGAATAAATACAATTATTATTGGCGTCTACTTTGAATATATTTTATGTTTGTTTGTTTGTCAATCCTGTTAAAATCTCTATCAATATACACGTGAGCTCGTAACACAACTTGAAACCGCTTATCAACTACTTAGTTAGTACGATGTTTTTGAAATAATTATTTAGATTAAAATATTCAATAATTTTTTAAAAGGTTTTAAAACAATAACAATATTTTTGTAAAATTTAATCCTGTTCTAGGGTAAGCGATTAAAATGAATAAAAATGTATACTTAAATAAAGTCCACCGTGAAGAATGACGCGATATATTGTAATTCTTATAAGTAAATTAAATTCTGACCACGCACAAGTAATACGCAAGGGAAATACTTGTATTATTGACGCAGAGGAGCGTGTGCTAATGTCTGCTTGATTAAAATATTAAACAGGTATCATTCATTATAATTGCCACAAAATAGCTTTTATTTCTATTTCGTACTAGTCACATGACATAGAGACATGTATGGACAACAAGTATATAATTAAAGGAATTTGACTACAGTCAACTTGGGTAACTTTGAACAGTTTTTGAAGATTTTTACAAACTGAGTAAAAAAACTATATGAGAGAAGTTTGATTTTATTACGTTAACTGTGTTCTGTTAATGTTATTTACGTATTATAATATTCAGATTAATTAAAATACGCTTAATTCTTACTAAAATTGATGATTTAAATACCATTCAAAGTTATCTTGAATTTTGAGTAACTTTGCCCTTTTTTATTTCTGAAGACTAAAACATATAATATTGGACTTATTTGGAGCTTGGGTAACATTAACTAGCATTTTTTAATAAGAAAATAAAATTATGCTCTATGGCCAGTCGTTTGCAGTACAACTTTTTTTTATATCGCTTGGGGATGCCATATACAAACTAAATGTACCAAAAAGGAAGATACAAAAACAAAATTTTTATACATTTTTAACTGTATTTATAGACTTAAATTAATAAAATAAAATTTGCATTAAAATACTAGAGCTTTTTGGGTTTCATTTGAGATCAAAAAATATGTATGTTAAGATGACATTTCTCATTAATATTTGACTTACAAAAATCTTACTCTCCCCACTCCATGAATAAAATTTCATCTTCTATGTATGTTATACCACCTTTCTTGGAGATTTGATGTTCTTTTACGATACTTACTATATCCGATACCTTTACTTTTAATATCTCGGCTTTTGAAGGCCACTTCCAACCTCCTAAAAAGGATTTTTGGAAAGCTGAAACCATAACAGTCGCGGTTGACAAATTTACTTTTCGTATTTGTCCTAGGAACCTGCTCCCCTCATTACTAAATATACAATAAGCATCTTTCACCAAATCTCTAACAAAATCATTTTTTTCGGTGTTATCTTCCTTGCGGGTTACTCCACTCTTATGTGACGTAGAGGCTGTTAAGTCACCGCTAGGTTCCACAACATATTCTTCTACAATTGGCAAATCCTTATCTTCCCATAATATTTGCTCTTCTGACTCTCCAATTGTAAAATCTCCTCGGATTGTTATGACCGGTGGCTCAACCTCTTGGTCTTGAAGCACAGATAGATTATCACCTATGTCAAGCATATATAAATCTTCAGCTATTTCTGGAGAAGGTGGTCTGTGTATCATAGCCTCAACGACGAACTTTGCGTGTCCTCCAATGTTTTGCGACTTAAGTTCATTTCCATCACCTTCTTCACCATGCTTAACAGTATCAACGACCTCATTGTTTTCACTGTCATTTTCTGTTGACAAGACTTCTCCAGAAGGAGCAGGATCCCTTTGCTTTTTCTTTTTTCTTGTTTTTTGATCCCATGGGCCTGCCACGTTTTTTAGACTGGCTGGTTTCTACTTCATTTCCTGTCTTCGTTTTGGCTGTTTTTTCCCTTTCTTTATAATAATTTTCCACTTCTTCAACCGACACACTCTTCCCTGCTACTACAGGTAATTGAAATTTTTTTCCTTTGGTTACTGTATTCAAATCCGATTGCCTCACATTTTCTATATAATTAACAAAACTTTCGCCAATAGTGTCGCTTATGTCCACAGTAGAGGTATATGCTGGAAGTTTGTTTAACACAGTATCTGGAGACAATGGATACAAACCACAACTTTTAAATCCTGCTCGTAGATTTTCAGATGAATTGGCATTTCCATTTTGTAAAGTTTTTTTAATTAACTGGGCAAATAATGACTTCGGAAGAGCCAACACTTTCTTGCCTCTGCAGGTTTGACGATAATCATTAAGTACTTTTCTCCATGCCGATTTTACTGTCGAAAAATAGCCTACATCAAGGGGTTGAAGAAGATGTGTCGAGTTAGGGATTAAACAAATGAACAAAATATTATTTTCAGCACATAAGCTCAGTGCTTTAGGAGATATGTGCGCGCTTAAATTATCACACATTAATATTTTTTTACCCTCATCTTTTTTCACGAATGGAATGAATTGGTTTTCTAACCAATCTTCAAAAATTATTGTCTCCATCCATCCTGATTTTGAGACTGCCATTCTGGAACCTTCAGGGGCTTGATATAGCCAATCAGACCAAAGTTTTACCCCTTTAAAAATAAAAAATGGTGGTACGAGCTCACCTGCTGCATTCCCACAGAAGACTATGGTAAAACACGATTTAGAGCTGTTTTTTATTACATCAGGGTGCTTGCAATCTCTACGAAATAGCAATTTCTTTTTCCCGGGATCATCATGAAACCCTGACTCGTCCATGTTATACAAATTTTGTGGAGCGACGCCTTCACTCTCCTTGGAAAAATGATTAAAAAATTGTAAAACTTGCTCACGATTAACTTGAGCTCTTTTTCTCGGGATATTATGAGATAGTTTCTCCTTCAGTAAAGGGTGTCTTTCTAAAAATAATGTTCCCCATTCATAACCAGGCATATTGTCTCTGAATTGCGGCACAATCCTGTTGTTTTTATTTAGGTGATCTCTGACGATAATCCTGAAGTCTAACATACTCAATGATAAGCCCACATCACTCAACAGTAACAAATGATTCTGAAAACTCTCCTCCACTTCTGCGGTAAATGTAATAGGTCTTCCGATATTTTTGATATGTTTCTTATTTAATTTGTAATATAATGTTACAGGTGGTATATTATAATGTTTGGAAGCATCCATCCTAGACATGGCACCTGACTGAATTTTATTAAGTGCCTCTTCCAAAATTTCTGGAGTGTAATTGCTTTTAGTTCCATATTTTCTAACACCAGGCTTAATTTTAAAGGATTTTCGCGGCATTGTACCTTTAAATAAAAAACAATTATGTTCATACATATGTTTTTTATAACATTTGGTAGCAACACATTCAAAGTTACCCCATCTAATAAAATACTAACAGGGTAACATTGAATGGTTCAAAGTTACCCAAAAATTTGTTATTTTTTACTGTATCTAATGATTATCAAATATATGGGTAAAAAGGTTAGTAAATTATATGTTAATTGACAAAAAGATAAGTTAAAACTGTGCCAGTAATATTAAACACAAAACTTACCCTCTTCAGTTACGATATCTTTAAAAAAATGTAATTTAAATTCACTAATAAACTTTGTTGCAGACAGACCTTGTTTTCGCAGACGCACTAAAATACAAACTGACATTGACAAGTACAGTTTTTTTTGTTAAATATAGTCTATACATTCCACTGTTTAGCTCGACACAATACCTTCTCTATTTGGATACTCTGGTACAGTTGTAAAAAATATTTAATTGTTAGTGAAGTTCTATTCAAAGTTACATTGAAATTCAAAGATACCCAAGTTGACTGTATATTTATATATTTTATTTTCTAAGGTTTTAATGAAAAATATTCTAAACATTTAACTAAAACAATAAGATGATGTTTTACACGCAACGGGTTACATTGAATTACACCAAAAGATAACTTCTAGGGGTTTTCAAGGCTTGTTTGGGGGTTCGTGTAAGTATATAATACAAACTTTTTAGTCAAAATGTAGATTTTTTAAACATATTAATTAGACGCATAAACAGTACAGCGCCCGTAGCAATTGTAGATCAGGTTATATTGTCGGATTGTAAAATTAATTAAGTAATAAGAATGCTTTTTGACAAATCACAGACGTAGTATAATAAATTATGTTTGTGCTTTAAGTCTATGTTTTCTTATAGTGCCGACCGGTTTGTGATCCGCGGCATCTAAGGACGGCGTTAGAATTAGCATCAAATTGCTCAAATATGGCTTCAAAGTCGCTAAGTGTGACACAGGTATTTACGCAAAGATTGAACACACATTTGCAGTTGCCATCAAAATAAATAAAGTTCAAAATTTGTGCGGTCTGCCACACTTATTGCAATATTTGCGGCCACCCAAGCGTGGCGATTAGGGTATTCATATTCAGCCTACAGCGGGGTAGATTTTTAAGGGCTAAAGTTATGTATAAATAAAACAGAGATACATTGCAGCAGTGCAGTACTGTGAGTCATTATCGAATAAATATGAGTGCAAATGTTATAAAACAAGTCTGACAGGTGCATTTGCATTTGTGTTTGTGCTTACATAATTTATTTAAATGTTTTGAAAATGTGGGGCTAAACTATCTTAGGTGTCTGATGCTGCAGTAAGAGAATGGGGATTTTTTTAAACAAGTAGCGTATATTTATATCATTGATCAAAGGCGTTGCCCGCTTACCAATATTTATACAGTAAAAGAGGAGTTTTTATGACTCCGGCATAAAAACTCCATTTTTATTGTATTTTGTGTTGGTCTGTATGTTGTGTAAAGTAAAAAGTTACAGCCTATAACGTCCCACTGCTGGGCACAGGCCTCCCCTTATTTCTGAGAGGGTTTTAGAACAAGTGTCCGCCGCGCTACCCCAATGTGTATTGGAAACTTCACATGTCTTCGAAATATTTTTTCTTATTCATCAGACATGCAGGTTTCCTTACGATGTTTTCCTTCACCGCCGAGCATGTGGTAGATCAGCACTTAAAATTGCAATTAACAATTTCATTGGTACCGGCGGGGATCGAACCCGGGTTATGTTATATTTACAGCGAGCGTTAACCATCTGAGATATCACGGCTCATGTATAAATAGTATATTGTCTATTATCATTGATTTTTAAATATATTATAACTTGACAAACTTTTGTTAAAAATGTAAACATCCGTACAGCAAAGGAGAGGAATAAGTTGTCAGCATTTGTCTTTTCATCCGATTACAATGTGGGTGTCTTCAAGGCAAAAGTGAATAGGCTTTTGTTAAGTCAGTGCGCTTCACCATCTTAGGCTATACACAACCACATAATATCATCAGGTTGGATTGTAGTTTATATAATAATAATACAAATGAATGTTATTATATATGGCAGGTACATCATTAAGCCACACGGTCGTTCAATATAAAGCTAAAGTTGATAAAATGTATGTACATAAATAAACATAAACATATCCTTTACCTTGAACTCCAGTAATATTTACGATTTGTATATAAATCAATTGCAAGGGCACAACATGACAAAATATCATTTTAATCGTAGTGCTTTACACATAACGATCTTTTTTCGGGTTGTTAAAGCGGAGACGGCTGTCATTTAGTTAAAATAATGGCCTATTATCGTGAGTATTTTAATGTCTATATCCATTAACACTTTTCTAGAAAATTTTAATGATTATTTATTGAAGGTTAATGAAGCAAGATGTTTCCAGGTACACTTCGCTTCATTATCCTTTGACCAAAATGGTACCCACAATCTTAAAACGAAATATGTGGTCTGTAACAATTAATAAAATATACCTCTAATATATAATATTATTTACTTTCATCATTTCAATATCATACAAGTAAAAGTCATAAAAGTACTTTGGTACCCTTATCTAGCTTCGATTCACTCGAAAAAATCAGGTTCGGTGTCTACAGTGAAAGGGCCAAGATTAAGGGGAAATATAACCTCAAATGGCTTAGCAAGATCCTCCGTTATGCCGAAAGTATTGTAGCATTAATTTTGGAATAAATATATGGTAAAGTTGAGGATTAATGTTAAGGACTATGTTAGACGAAAACACGATTCCGTAAAATTTTCTCGATAGAAAAAAAAATCCAAAGTTACCTCCAAACTGAACAATAAACCGCTGTTATTCATAAAATACTTTAAATAAGATCATGAAACTTTGCATACTAACTGAACTAACTATAAAGCAGTGCTTATGTTATTTACTTTTTTTAAAATACCATTATTTTCACTGTAAAAAGAAATTACCTAAACTATCGGCGCGTAAGCTTGATTCCTGTCGCCCCGACTTTTGAAGGGAGAAGTTGTGTCGCTTACGATCAGAATACACATTACGCAACAGGACGACGTATAATTAAAATGGGAAATAACCGTTATAAAAATAAGAAGCGACTGGGTTGGGAAGACGGCATTATGATAAAAAAAGAAATAAGTGTCTAACGACCTTTCTACTTACAGTATTAGTGATTACAAACGTGTCGGTACATAGCATACGACGCGCGGGGAAGTGGGGGCGAAATTAGAATTTGAGTGACTATATATCCCCTTGCAAGAGGACTCCTAATTTCTTCAATTGACGTACGAAACGTAATGCTGCTATTTTGCACTGTTATCCTGTGAGAGCGGGTCTTCTTTGGTCGAACCTAGGGAGGCGTTGAGTATTTTTGCAAAAATGCAGTAAATTTGAGGTTAGGTTTCGGATATGTCGCCGTATTCTGTTTTAATTTCATTGGAATTTGATTAAAAACTTTTATTTCTGTTATTTTCATAGGAGTGTAGAAAATATTAGGTTGGCAATTCTATTTTAATATTATTGTTCGGTGAACTGTGAGTAATTGAATTAAATATTATTAATATCTACAAAATAAAAAATTATATCTAGTGGTATGTATGGTGGTAATTATACCTATAAAAAATTTACTAACCGATAGTTTATTTTTATAGGCAAAATGGATAGACCTGTTTTTGGAGTATGGATATATTTAAAAAAAAATACAGAATAAGGAATCAGTACAATGTTCAATATGCCCAAAATATTATCCTATAAGGGCTCATCAACAAGTGTTTTAGTAGAACATTTAGATAAATACATAAAATAAAGATTGAAAAACAGAACTTTACATACGAACAAGAAGTGCTATCATCATCGTCTTCTAAATTTGAACCTGGATAAAGTTCAAACCTAGTTCCAAAAAGACCGCATTTTTTTTCGAACTTGTACTAAAATTTCCACATACAAAATTTTTCGAACTTGTAATAAAATTTTGCAAGACGGTATTTCGAATCAAGCCGTCACTAATAGTAAATTCAACCGAGAAGCTTTTCATCATAAACAGCCAACTGTACCAAAAAACGAAGGCAGGACGATGGATCTAGTTCTAGAGTATTATGAACAATAAGAAGTAAGCAAGTATGGTTAACAAGTTGCAAACGATCAAACGATAGTAAACTCTGATCTTAGATTCAGTCTAACTCTTGATGAATGGACAAGTTTAAAAAAAAACCGGCGTTACTTAAACAGGCTGGTTTTTATACCTGAAAAATGCGGCGCAGTTGAGGTCGGATATATGGTTCTTAAACATCTCGACGAATTCGATTTGAAACTTGAACGTCACATTGTGGTTTGTACTAAGGATGGCGCAGCGGTTATGCAAAAGTTTGGCAGAGAAAGCCCAACAGAGATGATGCTCTGCATTTAAATCACGCTGTGCACTTAGTTGTGATTAATGTCATATAGAAAAAGAAAACGATTACAAGAGAAAACATGATTCTTATAAGAAAATAATACTTTTTTTCAAAAAGTGCAATTTTTTTTTTGGTTTTTTTTTTGTTTTTTTTTGTGGGGGGGGGGTGGTGTGGGGTTGTGCGGGGGGGGGCCCCCGTTATATAGCCGGATTTGGGTTTAAGTAAACCCGGGTATTTGAAATAATAATACCCGATACCCGGTCAAGTCGGGTACGTGAAAACCCTAGTCGAACCGATTTATTCGCGTTGTAACTGCAGCGCTACGCTATATTAAAATCAAGTAATTCTTCCCAGGTTTGAATCCCAGCCGAAACCAATATTTGCATCATAACATATTATAAGCTTATTTATAGTTTATAGGCATATATCCCTAAATCAATACGCATACCAACGGAATCTACCACCGCCATAATAAATTCCATACACACGCACAGACACACATACCGTCATCATCGTCATCGTCTTACCTAGGACCGATAGTATCGAAAGTTCGTAAAAATTAAATGGAGGAATACCAGGGA